AAAAAAAAAAAAAAAAGCCATTGGCTGAGCGGCTAAGTGGAGCCTAAAATCCAGTCCACACTTGTTAGCCAGGTCCTGGCAAGGGGCTGTGTGCGCCCAGACAGGAATCTCTTCTGATTTGCATAAATTCTGGGTATAATGGGGTTTCCGATCGCTGCTACAGGTCTAGATGTGGTGTTTAGGGAGGACGTTTTGAGGATATGTGAGGGAGATGAGACAATGTGGGTGAGGTAAAACAGGGGAAGACTGAGGGGTCTGCTCTGACCTGCTCCATTCTGTTCCCCAGGCACATCTCCCACTTCATTCACAACGTCCCCTTTCCTTCCCCGCAGAGGCCCCGCATCCTCGTGCAGGTGAGGGCTGGGCTGGGCTGGATGGAACGAAGGGTGTTGTCAGGGTGAGTCATCATCACCCTGACCATAGCTCTTCTACTCTCCCAGATGTCTCCCTATGACAACCTTCTCCTCTGTCAACCTGTGTCCTCACCTCTGCCCCTCAGGTAAGCACATGGATTGCGGGGAAGGGAGCTTTAGTGACCAAAGCAGGTGGATGCAACTATTGCTGTCTGGGGAAGGGTCTCCTGGTAACCCTTTCCCTACCTTGGCATTGCCCACAGTGGTGCCAGCTTCCTGCAGTTGTTGCAGAGCCTGGGCCCGGAGCTGGCTGTCACACTGCTGCTAGCTGTGCTCACAGAGCACAAGTTGCTGATCCACTCCCTGCGGCCAGATCTGCTCACCAGTGTCTGCGAGGCCCTGGTCTCTGTGAGTGCCACCTTCCCCGGCCCATGTTTCCCAGAACTGCTGTTGCTTACAGTGCTACCCTATCCCTGCCCTGACTCTTCCCTTTTCCTTCTTTGGGGAAGGTCTTCAGCCCCTCTCAGTAGGTACCACCTTCAGGGACTCTTTGCTGTTTGCCTCCAACTACATCTCCCCAAGGCCAATCTCCTCCCTGTCACGTGGCCCTCTGGCCACCCATGTGCCCTGCTCACTGGCTCTGTCACCTTGGTGTTTCAGATGATCTTCCCATTGCACTGGCAGTGCCCCTACATCCCCGTGTGCCCATTGGTGCTGGCAGATGTGCTGAGCGCCCCTGTGCCCTTCATTGTGGGTATCCACTCCAGTTACTTCGATCTGCATGACCCACCTGCTGATGTCATTTGTGTCGATCTTGACACCAACACACTCTTCCAGTAAGAGGGCTGTAGAGAGGCAGGCATGAAAGGGCTGGTGTCTGGCATGCTCTGGGCAGAAAAGGAGCTTCAGGCAGACTGGGTATAGTGGCTCACGCCTGTAATCCCAACACTCTGTGAGGCCGAGGCAGGTAGATTGCCTGAGCTCACAAGTTTGAGACCAGCCTGAGCCAGAGCAAGACCTCATCTCTAAAAATAGCTGGGCATTGTGGCAGGCACCTATAGTCCTAGCTACTTGGGAGGCTGAGACAAGAGAATCACTTGAGCCCAAGAGTTTGAGGTTGCAATGAGCTGTGACGCTGTGGCACTCTACCCGGGTGACAAAGTGCAACTCTTCTCAAAAAAAAAGAGCTCAGACAAAAAGTGGAGGAGCCCTGTTACCCTTTCTCCTTATGCTTATCTCACAGAACTGAGGAAAAGAAGCTTCTCTCCCCTCGGAACCTGCCCCGCAGACCCTACAAGGTTCTGCTGGCCACACTGACAAACCTATACCAGCAGCTGGACCAGAGTGAGAAGCCTGGGTGGGGTGGGAGGCTGGGAGCTGTCAAGTCCTCACATGGCCAGTTTGGGGAAGCCTGTGGGAAGACTTTCCTTGCGGAAATAAGAGGAGTTAGGATTTCACTTGGTGAAAGTGAGCAGGATTCAAATTGTAACTCCTGACCACAGAGGGAAAGTGGAGCTTATCATGGGGAATGCTTGAAGCTTTTAGCAAAAGGTGATGTTTTAGCTGCTGCTGGTGCAAAATCTGCCAGAGGCTGGAGATGGAGATAGTGGTATCTGTGTGAAGGGCAGGGTCCAGGCAGGCACCATGGGAGCCAGCCCTGACCCACAGGCTTTGGGGGTCTCTAGCATATACTGGACCTGAGGAAGAAGCATCTCTGGAATTCCTGCTGACAGACTATGAGGCTGTGTGCGGCCGCCGGGCCCGCCTGGAGCGTGAGGTCCAGGGAGCTTTCCTTCGCTTCATGGCTTGTCTGCTCAAGGGCTACCGGGTCTTCCTGCGCCCACTCACCCAGGCTCCTTCTGAGGGGGCTCGTGATGTCGACAACCTTTTCTTCCTGCAGGGTAAAGAGGGCCTGTCTCTGCCTGGAGATGGTATCACGGGAGGAGGTGTCTGGGGGTTGGGCTCCCTAAGGAAGGCCAAGACTGGGAGCCATTTAGTTACTTATTCCATCACTCAGCAAGTTTTTATATGGGTACCTGCTTTAAGTTAAGTTACTTACCTGTTATAGCCGGGCGTTGTGGCGGGTACCTGTACTCCCAGCTACTTGGGAGGCTGAGACAAGAGAATCGCTTAAGCCCAAGAGTTTGAGGTTGCTGTGAACTATGTTGCCACTTCACTCAACCAAGGGTGACAGTGAGACTCTGTCTAAAAAAAAAAGGCTCAGTGCCTGTGGCTCAAGTGGCTAAGGCGCCGCCACATACACCTGAGCTGGCGGGTTCAAATCCAGCCTGGGCCAGCCAAACAACAATGATGGCTGCAACCAAAAAATAGCCAGGCATTGTGGCGGGCACCTGTAGTCCTAGCTACTTGGGAGGCAGAGGCAGGAGACTCGCTTGAGACCAGGAGTTGGAGGTTGCTGTGAGCTGTGATG